TTGTTGTTGTTGTTGTTGTTGTACTAAACAGCGTATGATTGTGGTTTGACCATGTTGGTACAACCAGGGTTGAACGTCCAGGTTGAAGTTTACAGAGTGCGTTACCAAGTCTTCGTGCTATGCACGAAACTGCAGTATGTGTGCTACGTGCCCAGCAGGCTTCCTGCGTTGCCTTTGTTGGAGTCGTTCAATCCGGCGGCCACTGCACTTTCCAAACTCAAACCCCGAACATGCTTGCTGCCCTTTGACGCCGCAGGACCTGAAGAAGGACCTAGCCGTGTCCTATGGCGTCGGGGACCTACTGGGGAACAGGGTTGCGCAGGGTGCATGTCAGGTAAAGGCTCGCTGCAGGATCCTGCCTTGAATGCCTCATTTGAGGTGTTGGCTCCCGACGGCGCCTCCTTCCGCGGGCTCTTCATTATCGACAGGGTGCTCGGGATCCCCATGTGTTTTGATGGTTGATGGCTTCTCTTTGGCCAGGAGGGTGTCGTGCAGCACTCGACCATCAATAACAATGCCTTCGGCCGCAACGTGGACGAGGAAGGGGCCAAAAGCGCGCTTGACATTTGCCGTGTGGGGTCAGGTCACTCTTCACTCATATAGACAAATATAGACCATAGTACCCTGCCTACTTTATGGTACTTCTGTTCCACTACTAATTACGGTCTCTCATTTATCGCGGTTCGGGAAGAGGGGCTTGTCTTCTTGAGCCTCGAAACTTAACACAGGTGGATGCGTGGACGGCAGCGAGCTTTCATATGTCATATGCGTTCGACTGAGGATTGTAGAGCCCAGCACAACGTGTGTCTGTATCCTAATACCTGCCGTGATCTTTGCATGCTACGACGATGTTACACGCTGAATCTCCCATCCTGAAAGGGCTCCTAGGTAGAAGGCTCACAGAACCCCGAAGCTCCCCAAGCCCCTGACTCCTGACACTTACGAGAACTTCTGCAGTAGTGCTTCCCCCGTCACCAGACACATGGAAGCCGTACTTCCGTCCTTGTTTAGCCAAGACTCCATCCTGCTTCCCCTGCAGGTCATTCGAGTACTGGATGCGATCAAATACGTTCAGGAGAACCCGGACGAGGCCGACTGCGTTGAGTTCTAGGGTGTACAGAGCTCGATGGCTGAAGACCAGTGTGAAGTAAGAGTTCTGCACTTTCAAGATTACCTCCTCCGGGCCTGAAAATGATCGAAGTCGGTATCCAATCGAAGTTATCGGATGTGAGCGAGGCTCGTTGCCCAGCCAGGTCTGTCCGGCTGGTTGGCAGCCAGGGGCCTGCACCTAAGTGGAGAGTCGCTTGATGTGTGCATGTAGAGGATGGGCCACATTAGCATGCATTTACATACGTCCCTACGCACGTCCGACGCACATCATATGGTGGGTAAGGCATTTAGCAGCATTTAACAGCCTCTGCCGTTGATCTGTTGTGGAGGTGCGGTGGCTAGAGTCTTGTGCAGGCCTCTGTTATACCCCTCAAAACAAAGCCGAGGGCCTGCTTAAATGCCAAGCTCATGCACTTTGATCCGGCGAAGCTGAAACCCTAATATAGGGGCCTTAATAATTAGAATCGGGTATGGGGGCATACTATACTATAATTGAAATAAGGAGCCCCCAAAACCCATTTCTAACCATGAAGGCCCGTACATTATCCTGTGGCCCCGCTCGCATGGACGTCCTCTCTCCAGCCGACCATGTTGCGAATGGACACCTTGTTGATGACTTAACTGTGGACTATGAATATCGTCATTGTGGTTTGTACTAATGGTATCGATGTCCTTAGTCAATACGGCCCAATCTGTAATGTGGGGGCTTCTGTAGTGTATTTTTGCGTGTTCCGATGAGAGTGCCAAAAGGATCGCACCATGCGGCCTGACTTCGAAGGCAAGAGGGAGACGCTCGGCTGCATTGTTTGGTGGCCTTGGGTGTGTCAGGTTTCGAGTTTGCGTACGATTTGGCCATCGGTGCCTGGCTTTTGCTGCGGCAGCTGCTTTGCGTCATGGATGTCACAGCGACGGCTGCCACATCACATCTGCAGGTCGGAAAGGTTCTACTGGATCGCAAGTCCTCAAGTCTTCATCGCACAACATGCGAACTCCAAGCAAAGCCCACAATCCGAGGTACTTCCAAGACTCCTGAGTTGGTTCCGGCATGTCATGCGGCATGCACCTGCCCTGCTCCTGTTTGAAGTGGGTCAGATGGTGGGCAGGCGAGTTTCCGGAGGCGACAGGACGAACGGAACAGAATACCCTTCGGAGCAAAAGCTGTTTGCATTCTTCTGCCATCTCGGCAGAAGAGGAAGAGCCAAGCCACGCAAGCTGAAATCGGCAGTTACTATGACAGGTGCCTGTTTGCATGTATACAGAGTTTGCACATTGCGAGGATATTGGTCTCCAACTAGAGGCACTCATTTCATAAACTCCACAGGTGATTGTAACAAGCGCAGCCCATTTGGTCAGCACAGGCAGGGTAGTTGCCTGAGCATAGTTTGAGGCAAACATGAACTGCTCGGACACATTTTGGGATTCTTTCTTCCGGTTAGTTTCTTCTTCACTCGCTGCCTGCCAGCTGCCTTATCGCTTCCGTTCCCATGACGGTTTCGTTTCAGTCTGCCGCCGGGCGTCAGATGTCGAATGGTTAGGGATCACAGCATCGAGCTTCGATGGTGATCCATGTACAATACAAGCCCCGAAACGACCCTTGTCTCTCTACCTTAAGGAATGCGGGCCTCAAGCCAACAAGTTCTCAGGATGATTTTTTTTCCAAAATCCCGCCACGTTGAGTCATACCCGTCGCCCGCCAGATGTGGATCCCTAACCATAAATTTCGGATAAAGAAGCTATGAAGAATTTCTGGCACTGTGAAAAGAAGCGCTGCAGTGACAGGAGTATAGATGGACGAGGGCCGAAAGAGCAACTTGCGCTGAAACGGCTGTTGCCACAGTAGGCTTTCCAGCAGGCGGAGTGGTAGCTTTAGACGTGTGTGAGCCAAGATATGCCGACTACACTAGAAGTATGAATATGCACTATAACTTAACTATCCCGGTGACTCCTGAAGCACCACGATCACAATCATCCCCACCGCCATCACCGCAGCATCGCGATGATCCACAGCATGTGCTTCTTGTGCTCACCATCGTGTAGCGCTGCCAACATCACGACGATGAAGATCGTCACGGCCCTGTTGGTCATCGCCGCCGGTCAACTCATCGCCGTCATCACCTCCACGGTGGCCGTCATCATCATCATCATCATCATCATCATCATCATCATCACCATCATCACCATAATCATCATCGCCACCATCACTACCGTAATCATCATTACCATCATCGTCTTCTTCTAATTACCACCCTCGTCGAGGTCATCACCATTGCTATGATCATTGGCGCCATCACCGCTCCCATTGATCATCTCCGTCGGAATCATCATGTCACGGCTGATCGCTGCTATCATGTTCTGTAGTTCGTTTGACTTGCCGCCTCAATGCTGACCTTCCTGCCCTTGGCTTTGGCTCACAGCCGCCCGCCTGCATGAACTCTCGACACCTTGGAATGCAAAAGGTTCGTCGGGACCTCAGTTTGCCACCCATGCCATGACCAAGATTTCCGGAACATGAGTCGCATCTCCGCAGAGTATCCAGTGGAGCGGAGCCTCGACGAGAGAGAGAGAGGGAGGGAGGGGGATTGGTAGGCTCTGTCTGCCCTTGCCCACCGAAACTCCGTGCATCATCGCTGAAATGGGATTTTCCGAAAAGAAAGGGTACCTTACTTTGAGGCCCTTATAATAAGGATCCTACTGTACTATTTAGGGTACTATATTGGGGTCCCCTATTTTCGGAAATCCCCAAATCGTTGCTCTCCGAGGCCCGAAGACGACGAAGTCCAGTGATGCGCCATGGTGCGGGCGCTCGAAGAGAATTTTATAATGCTATATATATGTATATATATATATGTATATATATATATATATGTATATATATATATGTATGTATATGTATATGTTTATGCATGTGTATATACATATGTATATATATATATACACATTTATGGAGCGCTGGGATAGTCCGCCGCAGGCTTCCAGGTTGAGGGCTTCTTGGTATCCAAGTATTGAGAAGGCAGGGGATTCTCGGAAGGCGTCGATCCAACCTAAATCCGCCGAATCCCAAGCTCCAAAGCATTCAACCCCAGAATCGTCCCGGGCTGTATACTGTTGCGAACCGTCTGCCTTCACTTGTATCTCATGCCGAGCCGAATTTGAAGGTGGCTGCCTCCACCCAGAGCTCGGCAAAGGCGATGCCAATCGAGGCAGGTTTGGTGTAAGAGCCGGAAGCACGCCTGCTCCGGGACAAGCTAGGATCTATGGAGTTCGGGGCTCTATCTTGGATCAGCCGGGCGTAAAGATGCCCCAAATCAAACAACTGAGAAGAAGGGAGGGCTGGAAAAGCAGCTTGGGGCCGGAAGGATGATTCATGTCTAACTCCCCAGTTCCTCACTCCCCTTTCTGTCGAGTCTTACGGTTCTCAGCTATTTTTCTCCGCTGGGCGCAGTTTACAGTAGCTTGGGGTTCCGTGGTTTAGGATTTGGAACGGGCCGGTTGTTTGCGGCTTCCCAGAAGCTTGTGAGATGGTGCAGCTTCATTCAGAGGCTGCAGAGTCAAACGGAAAGGTATGCGAGCCTTTGTCACCCAAGGTGTCGGATTCGACTTGTCAGCCGCCAGGGGCATCGACCTTCGTCCTTGTAGCATGATAAGAGCGAGACAGGTGCTTCAGCAAACGGCTCTGAGAGTTGTAGGACATGATGTTCAACAAGATGCAACCCTGGCCCACGTTTGAGTTGCGGTCCAAATGCAAAGAAACTTGGAGCCCAACGCAGGTCCACAGCTACAATGGGGCCACGTTCAGGCCAGCTCGCGGGTTCAGGGGTCGAATCACGTAGGGTTTAGGGGTTCCGATGCTGTATTTGGGCACAATGGTGGTGTTTTAAGAACCTTCTTCGCGAGCTCGAGCTTGCAAGTCCTGCGCAACGTACACGTGTAGTATTTAAGTACACACATGCATGCATACATACATACATACATACATACATACATACATACATACATACATACATACACACATCTGTTTTATATGTTAAGCACATTCATTCCTTTTTCCTTCCTTCAAAAAATGTTGTTGTTTGTGAGTACATTCGTATGCATATGTATGTACACGCCGTCAATCGTATGTTGATTCGGCCTGGTACTGCATGTTTGGCAGAAGCACACGGTGATTTGCACGGATCATAAAGACTGTTTACGATGGTATACCCATGCATACCAGTCTCTCTCTCTCTCTCTATGAAACTACATATATTATATAATTGTATCATATATACATATATATATATATACATACATGCATACACACTTGCACTTGCACTTGCACTTGCACTTGCACTTGCACTTGCACTTGCACTTGCACTTGCACTTGCACTTGCACTTGCACTTGCACTTGCACTTGCACTTACACGTACACGTACACTTACACACACACACGCACACACACTTTTATGTGTGCGTGTGTCCAGGCGATGGAGAAAGCTGCGGCAAAGGGCGCAGGCATCCACCTGCACCGCCAAGCTTCAGATGCGAGAAGGCAGCACCGCTCTCCGCAAGTCCAGCAGTCTTTGCAGGAGATGGCACGAAGGATCGGGGCTCTCCTGTCCGTCTCATGAGGCCGAGGGCTCAGTTTGGGGAAGCCTGGGTCAATCTTCATTGCTCTTCCTGGCAAAGGCAAGCGAAAGCGAAGGCAGCACCCACCCAGGCTGGGTTTCCGCGTCGGCCAGCTCAAACCACCTTCACGCACCTGCGTTTTCGAAGGGTTTCCGTTTCAAACACTAGACTGGACAAGCAATGCGCAAAGCCCGCTTCAGTATCATTCAGCCCTCGTTTTGAAGCAAGCCCGCAGGCTGAGGAGGAAACGATTCTCCCGCAGGCGGTTGCGGAAGCGTGCGTGCCCTAGGAGTGGAAAGCCTTTTTGGGGTGTAGAAGTTGCGGGTCTAGGGTGTAGGAGAGTTGGTTTTGGCTTTACAGGTTTGGGGTTTGGAGCGTAGAAGTTTAGGGTTTAGGCTTTAGGGCTTTCCCGCTGACCACTTCGAGCATGGACAGAAAACCCTGAAACCTAAACCGTGTTTGGCATGGTGCTACCTCCCGAGCCGCAAGCCATGTCCGTCTTGTGATGTTACATGGTAGATATTGTTCTGTGGGCTGCACACATGGACGTGTGTATGTACGTATGTATGGCAACGTCATGTAATGTAATGTAGTGTGATGTAATGTGATGTAATGTGATGCAATGTAATGCAATGTGATAATAATGTAATTGTTATGTCATGTAATTAATGTAATGTACTTATTATGTCATGTAATGTTATGTTATGTTATTATGCACGCATGCATGGATGTATGTATGCATGTATGCACATGTGTATACATATATATATATATACATATACATATATATATATATGTATGCATGGATTCATATTAATATGTATGTGCACATGTATGAGTCTACGTGTATAAACGCATAGTATGATCGTTTATGGTACCCGTCTTGATTTTGTCCTTGCGGCTGTCGAATCTCCGGTCCAGCCACAGTGGCATGCCGGAGTTCTCAAAAAGACTATTGGACAAAGGACCATGTGACATGCATTGCTTGCTATCTTCTATTCTGTTCTACTCTGTTCGTGTCTATGACATGAAACTCACCAGATTTTACCGACCATCACAAGCTGTGCCATATCGTAGTAGTTTGAGTTGTTTTATGCATACCAGTATATCATAGAGTATGAGCTGCTCTGTAAACGCCTTGTCTCGATGAGGGAGTTTCAGGAAACCAGGGTCTTGTAGAACCGGTTCAAAAAGTTCCAAAGCCCCTAATCCCTACACCCCAAAGCCCTAAACCCTGAACCTTAGATTAAAGACAGCGACGTTCTCACAAGCACAGGCCCCACGGTAGTTTCTGTCAACCGAAACGAGGTCTCCGGCTGCGGTGCCCGGCCAAGTGCCCGAGCCGCCGGGTGCCCGGACATTTCTCGCCCCTTGAGGGTATTCGGTATTTGGGCCATCAATTCTACCCCGCTGGAGTTTCGGGTTCTTGTGAGGAGTCACTTTTTTTGGTTTTTTTTGTTCGCACGATCCCGAATGAATCGCTGGCTTGAGTTCGGGTACTGTTTATAGCGGGGTTCGGGTCTAGGATCCTAGACTAGAATCTCGGACCATCGTCCCTTCCTGCTATACCCTTGGGGCAGCCGGGATGGCACCACGGAGGGCGTGGGCAAGGCTTAAGCCCTGTGCGAACCCAACCTGCGCGAATCCCGGTGTCAGCCCCGACCTGTTCCCAAAGCCCTAAACCCCAAAGCCCTAAGGCCCCAAGCCCCTAAACCCCTAAACTCTAAGCCCCAAACCCAAGGACAGCAGGTGTTGATTTTCCTCAGCATCTTCCCCCGTAGAAAAGCGGGGCGTGCTGATTTAGTGTATGCCCTTATTTGGGTAGGCGCGCTTTGGAGAAAGGGGCGTCACTGCAGTTAAAAGAAAAAACCTTAATTCTGGCGGATTGCGAGGCTTCCAGCTTCGCGAGGGTCGAGCCGAAAATCCAGCCGAAAGCCGACGCCGGTGCCCGCGCGCCCAGGGGGGCTAAGGTTCATGGCTAAGTGAGGTTCCAGGTACCTTCATTGGGGTTGAAAATCCGTTCCCTTAGCTATAGCCCGATTTACCAAAGTCCCCCGATCCTCTGAGTAGGGAGTTGCCTAGTTGGCTGTTGCGTTGTAAGCAACCCAGCCACCGGTCGAAAGCAGTTGCCAAACGAGTTTGGCCCGATCATGTCTCTCGAGCTGTTGACACGTTCGAGGTCGTCTCCTACGGGACAGAAGCGAGCTGTGTCCAAGCCCCAGAAAGCATTTTATCAAGTTCGTGATCCTAAACCCTGAACCCTTCAATGAATAATAATAGTAAATTAAATACGATTAATAATCATAATAACAATAACAATAGTACTAATAATAGTGATAATAACAATGACAATGATGATAATAATAATGATGATGAAACTAAAAACAATAATGTTAATAATGACAGTAGTAATAATAGCAACAATAATAACTGCAACGAGAACCCGAGCGCTGACCTCTGCCAGATCAGTTTGCACTGCAGGGCCTCGGCTGAACCAGAAGTCACCGACACTGCGACGCCGAAGAAGTCAGAGTTCGATGCTCAGTCAGACGACCAAAAAAGGCCTCAATGATTACCTTTATTGTTTTGGGGTTCCCTATTCTAATTATGGTAGCTTGTAGTTGTTAAGGCCACTACACTACTGCTGCTGCTGCTTCCTGAGTCCCGAGGCCCAAGCGGACCAATCTGTCCCCCGAGCACGTCGGCAAGATCAAGAGGCCTGTCCCTGTCCAATCTTGGCTTGCATTGTCCTGAGGTAAACTTGTACTGGAAGACAACGTGTTATGCTATGCTTGACGCTTCCTTAGTTTACTGTAGCAGAAGAGGTTCGTATAGCTTTCCCTTCTCAGGCCATGTTTTTCGGTCCACGACTGAACACGGGAAGCTAGGTCACTCCAGCAGATCGAAGTCCCAACCTGCTGGCGAGGCCAACAGATGATCAGCAGCAGCGATATCAGCAGCATCTGGCATACCTCAAAGGCATGGATAGCACCGGCCCTCAGAAGGAGACGGCAAGGTCTGCAAGCACCACGTGCTCAGCCGCGTGCTCCTACACCCGCCGCCACTCCTGCCCAGGCAATGCCTATCGAATGGCTGTGGAAGGGGAGTCAGGTGGGCCTACGAACCCGAAACCCTGATCGCGAATACTTGTAGTTTGGGCATGCCAAAGCACAGTGTTTCGTCTCGCCTCCAGTCAGACCTCTGAAAGAGTTCCTTGGACCTCTGAGCCTCTGAGTATCTCTTTGCCAGGCGCCATTGAGGCAGAGCTCGCTTCCATGCTCCAGGGTTTGAAGGCAAGTGGGGGCATCGTGTCGCAGCATTCCATGGCGCCTTCAGCTGTAGAAGTGCTGCTGTAGAGGCAAAGGATACGAAAGCAAGAGCTGGTGGCAATGGGCAGTACGCATTTTAGGCATTTTAGGGGGCTTTGATGCTGTATTGCAACTGCAGGGGTGCCCCTCATGGAACACAGCTTAGGACACCAAACTGCGAGAGGTTCTCAGTTAGCCCGAAGCATCTGCAAGGAGGATCTGCGGGAGAAAGTGCCGCTCCTGCCTGAGGTTCGGAGTGCTGTGCTACAGTAGGGCTCTTGATGGGCAACAAAAAGAAGAGGAACAAGAACAGTGGTGTTGCTTCATCGGGGAAGGTCTCTCGCCAACCTTAAGCGACTTTGGTAGCAGTCGGCGGAGCTGAGCTGTTTGGGGAAGCTTCAGTCGTAGCTACAGCGGTAAAGATGTGGCTTCATCGGTCTCATATATTCCTCTAAAGTTCACTAGAACGGGTACCAACATGGAAACTATATGGGGAAGATGCGGCAACCCTGAGCAGTCAGTGATACCATGCCATGCGTCCTGTGCAGGTAGAGGCGATGGAACAAACAGCGACGACTTCAGCAGATCCTTGGCCGAGAGAGGGTCCAGTGAATGAAGCTCAATTATACCGTCGGGCTAGGAGCAGGGACAGGATAATATATATATATATATGTATATATATATATATTATATCTAGTATGTATATATATATATATATATATAGGAAGAGTATCCCCTCGTAGTGCCCGCAAGCCTTTGCTGAACTATACACCCCGACCTTAATCCCCCAGCTTTAATGCGTTCAGCCATCACAATCTCCAATGCCTTGCAAAATCGAAGCGAACGTCGCTGAGAAAGTATGTCCCAGCCCCAAACCAAACAACAACAACAAGGGCCCTAGGGGTATGAACAAGCAGTAGCAGGTAATCCTACAGTCCCTCGAAAGTTACAGTGAAATTGTGCGGCCTCTATTGAAAGCAAGCCTTGAACCTCCAACCCTCTGCATGGTGCCCGAAGCACGAGCTTAAACCGTCAAACCCCCCTAAATCCTAAACCCTAAACCCTAAACCCCGAAACCCAAATCCCCAAAACACCTAAGCCCAGAAGTCCCCAAGCCCTGAGACTCCTAGGGTCGATGAATTCCCCTATCGTCCCCAGACAAATCGTATGACGCACCATACGCCATATGGGTCCCTTTTGGGGACCCTAAATAATAGGTGCCGTGTTATAATAAGGACCCACAAAGGGACCATAATTTTGACAACCACCCCCCAAAAAAAAGGCCCCTAAATTAGAATCCTTACGGTCGCCGTTATGGGACCCCTGAAAGGAGCCCTGTTTTAGAGAACACCACCAGGAACCCTATTCTACTTCTTCAGACCTCTATACGTGTAGTTCTGTAAATAAGGGTGCCGTGCCGGTTTTGGGGGCGGCGCAAAAAGGGACCCTAATTCGGAGAACTCTCCCTATGTTTCCAATCCTGATAGCAATCCTTGCAGAACCCCTACGGGGCTCATAAAAAACCCTATTCTGTCCTAAACCCTAAACTCTAAACCCTAAGCGTTAAACTATTAGTGCCCCTATCCTACTATACCCTAAACCCTAAACCCTAAACCCTAAACCCTAAACCCTAAACCCTAAATAACCCTAAACCCTACTATAGCAACCCTTTTGCCAGGAAAGTCAAGTCGAGGACTCGCCAAGCGAGACCTCAGGCCCGAAGGGGAGGGTCCTCAGGCTACAGGGTTAGAGGGCTTTAGGGTGTAGGGTTTAAGG